CATTGAACGTTTGTTTATTGGAAATGGCAGCCATTGGTGGGCAACTCGAAGGCGCGAATGGTACGATCGCGTGCAAGTTGGAAGACAGCAGAAAGAACATGAATAAAAGTACTTCATTTATACTAAACATTTGTTTGTAGACTTTGTAGTTGTCTTCACTTTAATTACCAAACAATATAACTTTCTTCTTACAACCGCTGATGTTTTGGATTTGAAGTTGGGACAAGTACATAGGAACTTAGGACTAAGTTCCTTGACACCCTTTGTACCGCTTGGTCTGACGTTGTAGACAATCTTAAAAGAAGTGCAAAGCATAGAGGAAGTGATTCAGACAGACGATATTTAAGAGAAACTGAAGTGTGTACAGAAAATATAGCTTATTAACCAACTGGAAATTGCCATAGACTAAATAGAATGTTGGTACATGATATGAAATCCAGTTCTAGAAAAATGTCAAGTTATGGTGAGACGACAGTGATATAGGCCAAATTTAATTATACTACTTATTTGTATTAAGTAGTCTGCATCTGAACGCAGAAAAAGCGAAAACATTCCAGTGAACGGTTAAGGTAGGAATTGATGAATGAGCAATAATGAGAAATAAACTAAATAATTCAGCAAAGTGGCTACAAAAGCACATTCGCGTACAAATTCTTTTCAGAAAACAGAGTGGCAACGAAACGAGTGGATTACCATAAGAACACTAATCGATTTCAATCAATACATTAAAGAAACGGAATCAGTCCCATATTGGATCAGTTTATTTGATGAAATAACTGGATAACGTTCCGAGCATAATTTATTGCCTATAATCATTTCACTTTAGTCACACAGATTCATAATTTGCCTTATATATGTATTTTCCTATCTCTCTCTCTCCCTCATTTACCCTTGTTGCTTGTTGCCACCTTCCATATTCCCTCAATAGGCCTTGCGTCATCTAGATTGCACCTGTGAGGTGTTGAATCGATAAACAAAGACTCACTCAGTGATTAACCTATCCGTCTGTCCACCTAACTGTATTATATTACTTTTTAATACTCTCACCCTGTCCTACTCACCCTAATGTGTGATTACATGCAAGTGAATGAAATACAAAGCGCGGAGTTTTTTCTAGGTTATTTAACTTAGTAGGGTTAATCATTCTAAGTATAGCTAAATTTCTATGATACATGCGAAAAGTGGTCTAAAACCATACTAGCCGACCCCCAACACACTCTCTATTCCCGACTCTCGCCTTGTATCTCATCAGGTATAACCAGATATCAGTATAAAATAATTTATGCTCGTACAACCAATTGCAGGAACTCAACGATACCATACTTGGCCCGTGTTCTAAGTGACAGAGACAATGTTAAGCGCGAAACCTATGACTTGCTTTGTTGTTAATAACATAATTTTAGGCTCTTTTATTTCTCTCTTATTTTGTATTCTATAGTGAACTCCTTCTTAAACATACTTAGCTACCTAAATTATTAACATTGGCTTACTTTTTTGTACTTTACTCTATTCCTTCTTTTATGTATTTACTGGTTTCGACTATATTAGCACTATGAGTATTACAAAATTGTCCTGTCATTAACCATCATGTAATTAAAAGTTTTTGTGGTTGTTTTTTTGTTCGGCAATATTAACTGACAATCATTGGTTGTGAACGCCATTATCACCATCTTATAATTTTGTATTATTCAGGATTACTCACACTATCACTACAAATACCGCATTAGACCTTACAATAAAAAGCAACCCTGAAAAGTTACTTTGTGATTGTTTCAACCAAATTAACTCATCATCTTGGCGATAAACATTCTTCAATATCATTTCATAACTTCTTGTATGACTATAGCTTTACTGTCACCATGCATAATCATATCATAGCTTCCACTACCCAATACTGAGATATTATTTATTTTCCTTTCTACTTCTTGGTAATTTTTTCGCATTTTTTATTTTTGTTGCCTTTATATTTATCTTTTGAAATACTCCTTTTAAATGTAGATATGTGCTGAAAATTCCACACAGTACCACTAGAACTGTTTCTGGAATAAAGCAAATTATTATTATTATTAAAATATTTTGATGTGAGCAACTATATGTTTTAGTGTAGAGCCAGCCGGTGATGACGAACTAGGTGAAAAGGAGTATGCTTCTTCGCTCAATCCTTTGTTTTCCTAAACTATCAAAGACTTAGTGGATCGACTCCAGGTTTTGATTCAACCACCCCCTACGTTTTTCTATCCTACTCCTATGTCAGCTAACATTGCTCAAAGAGGAAAGGGAGATGGCTCGGCATATGCAACAGGTGTCCAGTCACCTTAATCGATGTAGCTTCACAATCTCATAGATTGAACTCCGTTCCTAACGTAGCAATCTACGCCTAACGCCGACATTACTCACCATATTCTAGCACACATGAGAAGGTAAAAACCTGTAGTCAAAGACAGCTAGCCGGCCTTTTCATGTCTCCCACCTTCAATGGCCAAGTCTTACGGGCCATTAAGAAGGACAGAGAGGGAGAGAACTGTGGACAGTAAATACCTTCTTCGGTTGTGGATAGCTGGATGTGAATCCACGTCAAAGTCAGAGATGACGTTACAAGAGTATCATCCAATGGAAGAACAAATTTCTAGAATCAAAAAGTTCCGCTAAACGGAGTATAATTAATCAACTACAACCATTCAAGTATTGGTTTGTAGGGATTTGATTGATTGGTTACAGGATTTCATTATGAGCTGACATCGGTTAGAGAACCATTGGGAAACCAGCTGGGAGTACTGGACAGCTGTTTCGTCGCAGTGTGGGACTCTTCATCAGTGAGGACAAACACTCGCCACCGGTGACATTCGCGCGCTATGTCATGAATCGGCAGAAGCTGGAATTCATGGGCCGTTGGGTTGGGTCCCAGTGGCTTAATGGTCTACGAGCTCGCCTTGTAACCAGGGGTCCAGGGTTCGACTCCCAGTTGGTGCGTACCGCTGAAGGATCGCAAACTAGGACGAAACAGTTGTCCAGTACTTCCAGCTGGTTTTCTAATGGTTCTCTAACCGATGTCAGCTCATGAAGAAATCAACCAAAACCATATTTCGCGTTTCTTAACCCATAGAATTCGAACGATTTATAAGATTACAATAACTTCCTTATACGTCAGTAATCGAAAATCGTTGTCTATAGAGAAACGGGAATTTCTTTTTCATTTTGTCTGAAACAAAGACTTGGTACACAGCATAGTCACCAAGAGGTGAACCACGCAACAATAAATTGCGGCACGTTCGCCACTGATTGTGGTTCTTGGCTATAAATAATAGATAGCTTCTGGAGCCAGAGAATTATGATATACCAACCGACGCTGACCTAACATAAATTCCCCTCATCCCACGGCACCACGTCACATAGACTGACCACCTCTCAGCCTTTTCTATCCAACCTCACGGCTAACGAGCAGAGAACGGTACGGAAGCGCCTCTAGGCTGACATTCGTAGCACATATCCAAACCACCGAAGCCAGTGTTTCAAGATGACCACACTTAATGAATGGTGATCTCCACTATATCCAAACACACGCTGCTGGACCTCAGAATTACATACGCAATGACATCACCGGACGCAAGCAATTCTACGGGAGACAACTATGATCAAATACACACACAGAGTCACTGCACATCCTCAACTCGAACAGACCAAATTTCACAACAGGTGCACCAAAGTATTGCACACCCCATACATACATAACACAGCCAGACTGACGTCACTAGAGGCAGTTCGAATTGATGTATGTCACCCGTAACACCTACTCCACCAGCACTCACACATAACTACTACTTAGATGATACACATCAAACTTGTCGACAACTTCAAACAATTCACCTACAAAGGTGAATGCAGACAGATACAGCCTCCTGACAATCTTGCAATAATACTTCGCAATTAGACGGCACAAAGCACACATCACCAAGTTGATTAAGTACAACTTAGGCAACCGATAAGACGATATCGAAATGTCTTCTTCCAAGAAGTAGATTTCTACTACAATGGAACACCACCACATATTCTACGGACAAATGAAAGAAACATCCCAGCCGCCCCCCCTTCTCTTCTTCTTTACTTCGGCTATCTCCTACGGAAGGATGAGCCGGCTTCATGAACATCTCGAATCATCGCTGCCCAGGCGCGGCGATCTGATGCAAGGTTTTGCGACAGGGTTATCCAATTCTTGTTCCACCGACGGAGTCCGTAGACGGCTTGTAGCCCCAGGCACTCCATATCAGCCTTGACTGTACCAAGCCATGTTTTCAGCTGTCCACCCCTGAGACATCGCCAAGATGGTAATGGCGAGGGATTTAGAACTGATTTGACCAGATCGTCATCTGGTCGGCGCAGAACATGGCCAAACCACCGAAGGTGACGTTGTTGGACCAGTACTGGAATTTGGTTGATGTTGTAGCAAGTTCATGAAGTTTCATGGGAATTTGGTACGAGTGATGTCCCCAGAATCCCTCGGCCTTTTGTTTGAGAGTGCAGCCCTAGCCTTTACACAACCAAGTGTGACCTACAAGGCAGTAGGAGTGGAATAGGGGGTCCACTATCCATTGGAAGCCGGTGACCGGAGTTCGGTTCATACGCCTTTTTCAATGGGGCCAGACATCCAGAACATCCAACAAGCCCTTTGTCCATACGTCTGCCAGTGAGCTCCAGTGATCTTCATACGCCAGTCGTTGGAGGTTTGGAATCAGGGTTTAGCCATCTCCCCTAGACTGTCATCCAATGGACAGTCAACCCGGTGAAGAGCACCGGGCATCCGCTTTCGCCCTCTCGCTTTGGTGAAAAACACCTCCGCCACGTGAAGGCAGTGATTAGGACTTCCTCAGGAGAGGCTATGTAAGACACCCGGTCATATGGGAGCATTTCAAGAGGTGTGCGGAGGGGTGGCCAACACGCAGCGCAAGGCGTCCACGCCACCAACCACATATTCCTACAACACAATCCATCAAACTGTGAACAGATTTTTATCGGTGTATTTTTGAACTTTTGTACACATATAAGACATGATAAGAAAAAAAAATAAGCTAAAGAAGAGATAACAACAGTGCGTGTGATAAAGAAACAGAGAGAAAGAGAGAAGAAAATGTTTTTTCCATTGTCAACAAATCATTAATTTTTTTTAAAAGTGCTGTACAAGTGTGTATCAGATATTAGAGAGATATTGTGGGGTCTGAAAATAATATACATATATATTAATAATCCTAATAATATAACAAGTTATATATATATACATATACAAAGTTTTCGCCAAGGCTTTCATAAGTAAAAAAAGAAAGCATTCATCACTTCCTCCTTGACGGATGGTCACAACGATTTTTAAACTCTTGTAGAGAATTAATCAGATTCTGTAGTTGATCGAGTTCACTAGCTGACAACTCTGTATCGTTACGATCAAATTTCGCCAATAACCGATCCTATTCAGAAAATGAAATAAAACAAACAGAACCAATATAAGTATAACAGGTCTTATTATTATTAATATTACTGAGCCTTAGTAAGGTGCCTCTTCAGTAGAATCCAACGAATATGCATTGAAGACACACTTGATGATGAAGATGAAGAAGAAAGAAAGTTGACACAAACTCTGGTTGATAACAATTATCAAGACAAGTTCATCAGGAGATACAAGAACCTCAGCACGGATGCAAAAAGCTCGAGCTGCTTTCGCTAACTTACACCATCTCTGGCGGGCTTAGGCGTGACATCCGGTATAACCAAGGACGTGTGTACTGCTCAGCAGTTCGCTCCGTCCTTCTCTATGGCTCTGAAACATGGCCAATACGAGTTGAAGACATGAAAAGGTTGACTGTTTTTGATCATAGATGTCTACGATCTCTTTCTCACGTTAGGAGGTGGTATAATAAGGTAAGCAATGTTGACGTTAGGCGTAGAGTGTTGAGCAAAGAGGGAAAATCAATCGAAGAGGCTATAAAGTTACATAGATTGAGATGGTTAGGTCACGTGCTGCGCATGCCTAACCATCGCCTCCCTCGACGGGCATTACTAGCTGATATAGGTGCAGGTTGGAAAAGAGTAAGTGGTGGCCAAACAAAAACATGGCCTCATCAATCCATGAAATCCTTGACAGTTAAACTGAGTTAGGTAGGGAGATGCAGACTTCCGGGTTGGGGCCCTCGGGACTCTAAGAATCAATGGCTGGAGACAATAGGTGACATGGCTCAAAATCGTTGTCAATGGCTTACGCAGATGTATTCAGTGTCTGTAATCTTTCATATTCCTTTCTACCATTACTCATTCTGTTTCACTCTTATACTTGTCAAAACTCTATTGATTCTCTTCACTCATCTTCTTGTCTACCTTTGTGTGCTATTTAGAGCCTGGCAACTCGAACTGCTGCACTTCGGTGCCAAGTTCTATGTTGAATCCAGACAGACAGGAGATACAAGGTAGTCAGAACACCAAGACCCACTCTCCAACTCGCCGCTAAGAAAGATGTGTACATCAAGCTACCTACCCTATATGAGGTATCATAGCAGCTTGATAACTAGACAAAGATTGAACGCTGCTGTGGTTAAAAAAAGACTTTTTATGCAGCTAATATCATAATAATTGAGAATGTGAAGTCAATATATCCATTCATCTAAGCCCTCACTCAGAACATGCGAAAAATGATGTCACATCCCAATGTACTCACCGATTTGAATGTACGTGTGGACACACACACACAACATACATAGGGAGGACTCATCGATCGCTGCAAGTAAGGGCTGGTTTCAGGGAATATTCTTAAATGGCTCCAGAAGCAAATAGAATCTTCAGAACCCATTAATGGTGAGAACAGGAGACCTAGCGCCTCTATTGCGAAACATATTATAGAGACAGGACATAAAATTGACGTCACACACATCTTTTAAACCTATCTATAAAACGTTTTAGGGGGGGTTATCCTAAAGTTTGTGGAAGCCCTAGCAATTAAAAGTTTAAACCACCTTATGTGTTCAAAGCAACAATTCGTCTGCTCTATTTTGTCAGCGTCTTCACCTAGCAGGGAGGACTATATCATCTCCCTGATAGTAACAAGTCAATCCCTGAGTCGCTGAAGTCAGTTAAGGTTCAGTCCATTAGTACGATATCTATGATGAAATTGAATAGAAACGGGGATAGTGGGCATCCCTGACGGACACTACTGGTTGTCTCCACTTCAGATGACAACTCTCCGTAGGCTCTTACCTGGCTCCATGAGTTCGAGTAGAGTGCCTTGACCAGTGCGATGTATTTGCTCGGCAATCCATTTACGGCCAAACATCGCTATAGTACCTCTCTGTCAACAGAATCGAATGCCGCTCTCAGGTCAACAAATATGACGACCGTTGGACGCCGGCAAGTATGCTTATGTTCCAGAATCTGTCGAAGGGTGAAGATATGATCAATACACACTCTTCCTGGTCCAAAGCCTGCCTGGTTCTCTCGTGTTCGTTCCTCCCTAGCACTGCTTAGTCTACCCATGATTATTGAGCCTAGAACTTTAGATACCATATTAGTCAAGCTGGTCCCCCTGTGATTATCACAGGAAGACTTGTTTCCCTTCTTGTATACCAGGGTAATCAATGACTATCTCCGACTTCTAGACGTCGTTGCCTGTTACCTTAGCTAACCCAGGCAGTAGATTGTCTTCACCGTCCTTAAACACCTCTGGAGTCATTCCATTCAGATCCCGCTGCTTTGTCTCGTTTCAGATTAAAGACAGCTTTTTCTAACCTCAGTTACGGACGGAGAGCTACAGTCTATACTGCATTCAGAGAGATCGGTCGGTCGGTCGGTTTTCGACATAGAACTTTGCACATATGTGCGACAGTTCAAGTCGCCACAATCTATGTAGCACGCAAAGCAAGAGAAGGAAGTAGGAGAAATGCATAATATAGACAGTAAACAGAGGTGTGAGACAAAGGAAGAGTAATAACGGAGAACAAAACAGTTTAATTGGAAATCATAAGTCACAAGGAGTGGATGCATCTGCGCCACTGAGAACGATTTTGAGCCATGTCACCAATTGTTTCCAACCATTGGTTTTTACCATCCCGAGGGCCCCAACCAGGAAGTCTACATCTTCCTACGTGGCTTAGATTAACTGTTGTGGATTTCATTGATTGGTGCCATGTTTTCTTTTGACCGCCGCTAGCCCGACCGAAAGGTGCTACCTTGACGTGGTGGTCGGGCTTGAACACTGCAATGACCCAACAAGCTATACTGGCTGGAACTTATGTTCCTGCAGGTCCTACCATGCCAGAAAGGTTGTTTGGATAGCAGTTAGACTAAAAGCAGTTACCCAATCCAATCCAATGATTTCAAATATATCACAAAATATCATGCCGGATCGGTCGGGGCCCGGATTAACAACGACCGCGCTTTCTGCTGCCGTGTCACAGGGCAGAAGTGATAAATATGCTACTGAGACACACCAAATAAAAAAGAACAAGCAAAAACAGGCCGCGTGTGACCGGCCTCAGGCAGTTGTCCCCTGGGCTCTGCGGTCACGCAACCAACTTCCACGGTGTGGGCAGCCGGGAAGTAACAATCGCCCTCACAATCCGAAGTGCACGCGAAACCCCTCTAATCCTCACTCTCCTTTGTCTTCATCTTCATCTCTATTATCACGCCTTCCTTCTACCAATGCAACTCCTCTACTTGTTGGCTCCTCACTTCCTCTTCACTCTGTGTGCACTGATAACGATTCAGAGAGATGTTGGATGCTGGGTAAGTTGAGCGTCCCTACAGGTCAGTTAAATTGTTCCTCAGTGGCTATCTTCATCACTTCTTCTGTCTTCTCAATGTCCACTACACCTCTTGTTGGTTTGCACCCGTAAACCTTCGAGTTTGTGTAACACATCAAACATGAAACACTGTAAATTGTCAACTTTTTCAACGAATGATGTTAACGGGAAGTGGTAGGTTTTATGGAAAACAGTATGAACCTTTCATACTGACTTGATCATTTAGTTGTCACCTGACAAGTCGTCATAAATTCGATTAGCGCTTCATAAACCAACTTCACACCTGGGCAACTAGATAGTATCTCATCAGCTCACACACACACACACACTACTTACTTACTTTACTTCGGCTATCTCCTACGGGGGGATGAGCCGGCTTCATCAACATAGAGTTCATCAAGTTTCATGGGAATTTGGTACGAGTGATGTCCCCAGAATCCCTCGGCCTTTTGTTTGAGAGTGCAGCTCTAGCCTTTACACAACCAAGTGTGACCTACAAGGCGGTAGGAGTGGAGTAGGGAGTCCACTATCCATTGGCAGCCGGTCACCGGAGTTCGGTTCATACGCCTTTTTCAATGGGGCCAGACATCCAGGATATCCAACAAACCCTTTGTCCATACGTCTGCCGGTGAGCTCCAGTGATCTTCATACGCCAGTCGTTGGAGGTTTGGAATCAGGGTTTAGCCATCTCCCCTAGACTGTCATCCAATGGACAGTCAACCCGGTGAAGAGCGCCGGGCATCCGCTTTCGCCCTCTCACTTTGGTGAAAAACACCTCCGCCACGTGAAGGCAGTGATTAGGACTTCCTCAGGAGAGGCTATGTAAGACGCCCGGTCATATGGGAGCATTTCAAGAGGTGTGCGGAGGGGTGGCCAACCCGCAGCGCAAGGCACCCACCCCCGACCATCCTGAGGCTTTGGAGGCCCGAGATAAGGATGAGTCTTAGCCTGGTATATGAAATATCTGTTCCGAATAATTGAATTCCAAACAATATACAACAATAAAAGCCCTACCCACCTAAACTTAAAGTAGGGTTCTATCCCAGTTTCCACTGATCGCAACATATTGATTGCTAAAATGCAAAGATATACACACTCCAAAAGAGGAAAATATTAGAGGCGGGTGTGCGTGGGAGGCTTGACTTACCCTCATTTGTTTGGATAACCTTCGTACAGGATTTGATTTGACGCTTTTACCAACAGTCATTAAAGGAGGATTCATTGTTGTAGCATCATGCGTAATCCGGGAAAGCATTGTACGTGTAATTCTATGCCCTTCATTGATAGGAGTGCTTGCTATTTCCGTTGTCTGATTCACCGTTGACATTGTAGTAAGTACGTCTTCTTCAGGGATTACCATCGGAGTAGAAGCAACAGGTTGCCGTCTTTCATCACCTGCTAACTGATATCCAATTAACCAAAAAAAAGTAAATCATAAGAAATGCAGGAAAAAAGGGTTAAGTTTGAGAAGATATTTTCAATAAGCAATAGTAGTAGGAAGTACAACTTACTCTTAGTGTCCTCACCCCCACCTCCTCCCTACATGGTTTTCGAGAATTACAATTGCTGCATTTTCTAATTCCATTGTAAATTTAAATGAAGGATGGCAATTATTAAACTCTAGTAAGTAAGATACAATTTAAATCGGAATCATCATGACATGAAGAGAGATGTACGACTATCTGATAACTGAAGACGTTTTCGAATGTCTGAGACCAACAGGATCAATTATCACCCCGCATCCCCCGCCCGACTCTTCGATCTATCAAAGGTACACACAAAAACCTGATCTGCCATAGTTTGACCAATTTTAGATATGTTTATACGAGTTTGACGACGGATTGATATCAGTTAGAGAACCATTGAAAACCAACCAGGAAGTACTGGACAGCTGTTTCACCAGCCTAGTTTGGGAATCATCGGGAGTACGCACCCACAACCGAGGGGCTCGAACCCAGGACCTTCCGGTTACAGGCAAGCTCGTATACCATTCAGCCACTGGGGTCGCGCTAAATTACGAATTGGTAGAAGTTAGAATTCATGAGCCATTGAATCGGGTCATGGTATACGAGCTTGTCTTGTAACCAGAAGGTCCTGGGTTCGAGCCCCTCGGTTGTGGGTGCGTACTCCCGATGATTTCCCAAACTAGGCTGGTGAAACAGCTGTCCAGTACTCCCTGACTAGATGTATATCTACAGAGACGAAGCCGACAGACATGTAAACTTGAGATCGAGCACTTCGGGGTTCAGTCAATCGACGGGAAAATCTAAAATTCAATTAAATAACTCTAGAATGTTTTAGTCAAACTGATGATTCAAATCCATTCTAGAAAACACTCGTCCCCGACCATTATTTGTGGTGTAATGATATTCCTAATTGTGGTGGACTGGATTATGCGTCAGACAGTGGGAAACGAGAAGACAGGGATATCCTGGACCGACGTGAAGAACCTAGAAGACCTGGATTTCGCAGATGATTTATGTTTGATGTCACACAAAATCGAAGACTTACAAGCGAAAACCGATAAACTGGTCGAAGAAGCAGTAAAGACAGGACTGCAGGTGAACATAGACAAGACGCAGGTTATGAAAATAACCAACCAGCAACAATAACAGCAGCATCAACATCCAGCGCCAATCACCATCAACCGGAGGGATTTGAAAGAGGTTACTTCTTTCACTTATTTAGGGAGCATTGTCTCAACCACAGGAGGAACGGATGAGGATGTCAAATCGAGAATCGGGAAGGCGAGAAACACATTCATCAACCTGAAACCAATCTGGAAATCTTCGTCACTCAGCATCAACAACAAAATTCGGATTTTCAATACAAACGTCAAGTCAGTTTTGCTATACGGATCAGAAACTTGGCGAGTCACAAAGAATATTTTCAACAGGTTGCAGACCTTTATCAACAACTGTCTTCGTTCCATACTGAAGATTAGATGACCGGAAAGAATCACCAACAAGAAGCTATGGGTACAAACAAATCAGGAACCAATCGCTCAACAAATATGTAGGAGAAAGTGGAGATGGATTGGACACTCGCTGAGGAGGCCGTTGGGTGACATCGCGCTCTCGAGGCCCTTGAGTGGAACCCGAAAGGGAAGCGGCGATTGGGACGTCCAAGGGTGACATGGAGGAGATCGTGTGAAGAGGAGCCGAAACAGTATGGACTAACATGGATGCAGGTGTAAAGGACAGCAGAAGACAGAAGCAAGTGGAGACGTGCAGTTGAAGCCCTATGTTCCACTAGGAACCCAAGGGAACAATAATAATAATAAACATTGATGAGAGAAATTATAATTGTTGTGACACTACCAATAGTCGACTAAAATGCTCAAAATATTGGATCTTTATTATTATTTTTTTAAAACTTTAAATATATCTAAATGGAAGAGATGACCCTTTGAAAAAACAAGGGGATTAATGAATTATGCATTAACTTTGTTTGAAAATTTGATTAGCTCTCTGTTGTACTTACTCGACATGGTCTCTTCCCGGTTAGTGTTTTAACAGTGTCTTCCCATTCCATTCGACTGCGTTTCTTTGCTTCACATACTAACTGGTCAAGTATCTGAAAAATTTTAAAAAAAAAACAAATATACAACATACTGACAATTACTACTTTTAGTTCAGTTAAGATAATATGACGACACTGTTATATATTGTTACTTGACTGGTTTCAAAGTAGAACTTTGCACATATATGCAGTAGTTCCAGTTGCCACACTCCCTCCATGTAGCTTACAAAGCAAGAGAAGAGAGTTAAGAGAGATTCAAAAGAGAGAGAGAGAGATAGAGATACTAGACAGAAGTGTAAGTGAGGCAAAAAGAATAGTAATATGGAAGAACAAGAGAATTTTATTGGATATTATAAATCACAAGGAGTGAATGCATCTGCGCCAGCCATCACCGAAAACAATTTTGAGCCATACCATCAATCGTCTTCACCCTTCACTGGTTTTTACCATCCTAAGAACTCCAACTAGGAAGCCAGTCTACAACTCCCTAAGTGGGTGGCCGGTTTAAACGAACTGTTATGAACTCCATTGACTGATGAGGCCATGTTTTTAGTTTGATGACCAATGGCTCTTTTCCAACGTGACCCTATGTCAGCTAACATTGCCCATTGTCGAGGAAAGCTATGGGCTAGGCATACGCAACACATGTCCTAACAATCTCAACCGATGTCACTTTATAAACTCGTTTACTGATTTCCCCTCCCACCTAACTAGCACTCGACCGATGCCTAACCTCAATATTGCTCACCCTATTATACCACTTCACACAGGAGACAGAACACAGGCACCTATGATCAAAGACAGCTAGCTGGCTTTTCCATGTCTTCAACTTTCAATGACCAGCCATTAAAGGAGGTCGGAGCGGACTGCTGAGCAATACACACGTCCTTTGGTCGACAGCCAGCCGGATATCACGTCTACACCAGAGATGGAGTAATTTGGCGAACGAGCCGAGTGTATGTGTGATGAGATTTCATCTGTGTCTGATACAACTCCCCGACACGCTCCATCAACCACTTCCCTCCCTATCTTCAAGCTAGGAGTCAATATAGTCCAGTACTGTAGCATAACCTTACTTTTGACAGCAGAAGCGAGTTGCATACCAAACATTCGAAGGTTCCTGCTCCTCAAGGTGTTCAGAAGAATCTGAATTTTGTCAGCTTCTTCACCTAGAAGGACCATATCTAGCACTATATATCTATATTGTTACTTACAAACAGCCATACACTAACAGGCTTCACATTAGCTGAAATTATTAATAGGACCGATCACTTCAACCCTTTATTACAGAATTATCACTTGGACTCGTTGATAAATATCATAGCTGAATGCGCTAACTAGTCTCATGTGTCAACTGAAAGAGATGCGAGAGCTAATGAGGATGATGAGAATAACGAGTATTCAAGTAGGAAAACAATAATTGATTATCCCTCATGATAAATCAGTGACAATAAAAAAATATCTAGATTATGGGATTTCGATGCAGAACTCCAAAAGGAACAAACTGTATTCAGAAAGAGTAAATCACATGTGCGGATCAAATTGTAACACTACACATCATCATGATCGAAAAGTGTTGTTGAGTGGCAGTCGAATCTCTATCTACATCAACTCTACTGAGAAGTAATCTATAAGCTATTTCAATACCATGGAGTGCCTCATATCTTTACCAATCCCTTTCAACAGCTCTATATGACAATGTCATACGTCAAATGATCCCCTAAGGAAAACTGAGAGTATTCGAAGTGAAAAATGCAATAAGACAAGGCCACCTACTCTGACGCATGATAATCTTAAAATTGTGGGTGGACTTGATTATCCGTATTAGACTGTGGGATGCGAAAAAACAGTAATACGTTGAACAGATAAGAAGACTCTAGAAGATCTGCATTTCTCAGATAATATCACACAAACTAGAAGATATACCGGCAAAAACCAACACTGTCCGCGAGAGAATTTTGAAAGAGGTTACTTCCTGCCTTAACTTATCTAGGAAGCATCGTTTCAACTATAGGCGGAACGCATGAAGATGTCAAAGGCAGAATCGGAAAGGCAAAGAAAACCTTCAGCACTCTGAAATCAGTTCGGCAATCTTTTGCACACAGCATGAAAAACAAAATTCGGATTCTGTTCAACACAAACGTTGAATCGGTTCCTCTATAGGGGGGTTTGACACTTGGTGCATCACGAAATGCACTGCCAATAGGTTGCAGACTTTTATCAACAGCTGCCTTCACTGGCTCTACATTGAAGATCAGATGGTCAGTCGGCCAGAAAGAATTAACAGAAAAGAAACTATGGGAACGAGCCAACCAACAACAAGCATCCCGAAGAAAATGGAAATGGATCAGACACACACTGAGGAGACCGTTAGGCCATTTCGCGAGCCAGGCAGAGACTCAAGTAGAACCCGAATGACAAATGAAGATTTCGGTGTCGTATTGAGGGTTACATGGAGGAGGTCGTGTGAGGAAGACATGTGAAAGCATGTGGGTAATCGTGGAGACAGCAGAAGAGAACTGATGAGAACAGAAGGGAATAGAAACGTGTTGTTGAAGATCTATGTTCCACTGGCGACCCAAGGGAATAACAATGAATAAACAGTACGGATTTGAGTTACTTTCAATGTAGATCTCGTCACGAACCAGTATAAATTAGAGAACACTGGAAACAGAGAAGCCAGGGCCAGTTGGGATCCACACTATATCAAGCTGAAGTGGATTCTCATAGAAGGCATTGGTTGAAGGCAGCTAGCTCACTACATCATTACAAAGTGACAGCAGTTAGTGGCTGACAGGTCATCGAACTTGGTCTTGTAACCTGAGAAGGTTGCTGCTTCGAACTCTAGTGAGGTCGTGGGTGCACAATGATGAATACTTCCAAACTAGAATGAAACAGCTGTCTAGTGCCGCCTAGTTTTTTAATGATCTCTTTCTATCTGTCTGATGTTGGCATGTGACGAAATCTATACTGAAATCATCCACTTATTCAATATCATGTAAGGCAGTTAGTTAGCACTCATCATGCGGGAAATCGAAACGATACGAATCTGTCTGCCTGGATTCAACATAGAACTTGGCACCGAAGTGCAGCAGTTCGAGTTGCCACGCTCCACATAGCACACAAAGGTAGACAAGAAGATGAGTGAAGAGAATCAATAGAGTTTTGACAAGTATAAGAGTGAAACACAATGAGTAACGGTAGAAAGGAATATGAAAGATTACAGAGACTGAATACATCTGCGTAAGCCATTGACAACGATTCTGAGCCATGTCACCTATTGTCCCCAGCCATTGATTCTTAGAGTCCCAAGGGCCCCAACCCAGAAGTCTGCATCTCCCTACCTGACTCAGTTTAACTGTCAGGGATTTCATGGATTGATGAGGCCATGTTTTGTTTGGCCACCACTAACTCTTTTCCAACCTGCACCTATATCAGCTAGTAACGCCCGTCGAGGGAGGCGATGGTTAGGCATGCGCAGCATGTGACCTAGTCATCTCAATCTATGTAACTTTATAGCCTTTCCGATTGATTTTCCCTCTTCGCACAACACTCTACGCCTAACGTCAACATTACTTACCTTATTATACCACCTAACGTGAGAAAGAGATCGTAGACATCTATGATCAAAAACAGTCAACCTTTTCATGTCTTCAACTCGTATTGGCCATGTTTCAGAGCCATAGAGAGAAGGATGGAGTGAACTGCTGAGCAGTACACACGTCCCTTGGTTAATAGCCGGATGTCACGCCTACGCCCGCCAGAGATGGTGTAAGTTAGCGAAAGCAGCTAGAGCTTTTTGGATCCGTGCTGAGATTTCGTCGCCAAAAGTACTAAGCTAGCCAGGTGTAAGAGCAAAAGTCACAGGATAAACAATATCCCCATATCAGCATAAGGATACCTAAATGTCAAATGCGCATATATTGTCCATGTGATGACGCTAACTAAAAGATTACAAGATTCAACAAAAGTTCCAAGTGATGACAATTATCTAACAAGTCTGACTGTAGTTCTAAGTTATTGAAGTAAGGTGAAGTGCAAATCTGACTGACTGACTGACTAACTGAGCTTCAATATAGAACACCTCTACACAGTAGTACGGTAGTTTAAGTTTCTACACTCCACATAGAATACAAAGGTAAAGAAAAAAGGAAAAAAAGGAATTCAAAAGAACTACAATGAACATAAACGTACGGAAGGAAGAATAGTAACATTGGAGGATATGAGAGATTACAAAGAGTGGATGCATCTGTGACATTAAGACCGATTTCCGAGACATATCAACGGTTGCCAGTCATTGGTTATTAAAATCCAGAGAACCCCAACCAGACAGACAGTCTACATCTCCTTATACGGTTGGCTCAAACCGACAGCGGATTGATTCCAAGTTTTGGTTTGACTACCCCCTCCATAATTCTTTTCTAAAACTCAATTCTATGTTAGCTAACACTAGTCGAGGAGAATGGCGGTAGCTCAGTATGCGCAATAAGTATGAGTCAACGAGTAACATACACCATGCGCTACCATATCAAAAGCAATGTTTACTGGGCAGTTATTATTACTTTTATGCTGCCCACAACATAGAAGCTGATTTCTTCTTGGAGTATGGGATTTTGATGCAGAACTTAAAAAAGGAACAAACTGCATTCAGGAAGAGTAAATCACATGTGCGGATCAAATTGCAACACTAGGCATCACCATCATTATCGAAAAGAGCATAAAGTGGCAGTCGAATCTCTATCTACATCAACTCTACTGAGAAGTAATCTATAAGCTATTTCAACACCATGAAGTGCCTCAAATCTTCATCAATCCCATTCAACAGCTCTATATGACAATGCCATATGTCAAATGATCCACTAAGGAAAACTGAGAGTATTCGAAATAAAAAAATGGAATAAGACAAGGCCACCTACTCTGACGCATGATAATCTTAAAATTGTGGGTGGACTTGATTATGCGTGACAGACTGTGGGATGCGAGTAAACAGGAATACGTTGAACAGACTCTAGAAGATCTGCATTTCTGAGATAATTTATGTCTAATATCACACAAATTCGAAGATATACAGGCAAAAACCAACACTGTCCGCGAGAGAATTTTGAAAGAGGTTACTTCCTGCCTTAACTTATCTAGGAAGCATCGTTCCAACTATAGGCGGAATGGATGAATATGTCAAAGGCAGAATCGGAAAGGCAAAGAAAACCTTCATCACTCTGAAATCCGTTTGGAAATCGTTTGCACACAGCATAAAAAACAAAATTCGGATTCTGTTCAACACAAATGTTGAATCAGTTCCTCTATAGAGATTTGACACTTGGTGCATCACGAAATGCACTGTCAATAGGTTGCAGACTTTTATCAACAGCTGCTTTCACTGGCTCTACATTGAAGATCAGATGGTCAGCCGGCCAGAAAGAATTAACAGAAAAGAAACTATGGGAACGAGCCAACACCAAGGACCTATTGCTCAACAAGCATCCCGAAGAAAATGGAAATGGACCAGACACATACTGAGGAGACCGTTGGGCCATTTCGCACGCCAGGCAGAGACTCAAGTAGAACCCGAATGGAAAATGAAGGTTTCGGTGTCGTAATCGAGGGTTACATGGAGGGGGTCGTGTGAGGAAGAGATGTTAAAGCATGTGGGTAATCGTGGAGACAGCAGAAGAGAACTGAAGAGAACAGGGCGAAATAGAAACGTGTTGTTGAAGACCTATGCTCCACTGGGGACCCAAGGGAATAACAATAAATAAACAGTAGATTTCGTTATGAACCAATATAAATTAGAGACCACTGGAAGGAGAGGAGTCAGGGCCAGTTGGGATCCACACTATATCAAGCTGAAGTGGATTCTCATAGAAGGCATTGGTTGAAGGCAGCTAGCTCACTACATTCATTACAAAGTGACAGCAGTTAGTGGCTGAAAGGTCATCGAACTTGGTCTTGTAACCTGAGAAGGTTGCTGCTTCGAACTCTAGTCAGGTCGTGGGTGCACATTGATGAATACTTCCAAACTAGAATGAAACAGCTGTCTAGTTCTTCCTAGTTTTTTAATAATCTCTCTCTGTCTGATGTTGGCATGTGACAAAATCTACACTGAAATCATTACATCCATTTATTCAACATCATGTAAGGCAGTTAGTTAGCAGTCACCGTGTGGAAACTGAAACGATACGAATCTGTCTGCCTGGATTCAACATAGAACTTGGCACTGAAGTGCAGCAGTTCGAGTTGCCACGCTCCAGATAGCACACAAAGGTAGACAAGAAGATGAGTGAAGAGAATCAATAGAGTTTTGACAAGTATAAGAGTGAAACAGAATGAGTAATGGTAGAAAGGAATATGAAAGATTACAGAGACTGAATACATCTGCGTAAACCATTGACAACGATTTTGAGCCATGTCACCTATTGTCTCCAGCCATTGATTGATTTTTAGAGTCCCGAGGGCCCCAACCCGGAAGTCTGCATCTCCCTATCTGACTCAGTTTAACTATCAAGGATTTCATGGATTGATGAGGCCATGTTTTTGTTTGGCCACCACTTACTCTTTTCCAACCTGCACCTATATCAGCTAGTAATGCCCGTCCGTCGAGGGAAGCGATGGTTAGGTATGCGCAGCACGTGACCTAGTCATCTCAATCTATGTAACTTTATAGCCTTTCCGATTGATTCTCCATCTTTGCTCAACACTCTACGCCTAAAGTCAACATTACTTACCTTATTATGCCACCACCTAACGTGAGAAAGAGATCGTAGACATCTACGATCAAAAACAGTCAACCTTTTCATGTCTTCAACTCGTATTGGCCATGTTTCAGAGCCATAGAGAAAGACGAGGCGAACTGCTGAGCAGTACACACGTCCCTTGGTTAATAGCCGGATGTCACGCCTACGCCCGCCAGAGATGGTGTAAGTTAGCGAAAGCAGCTAGAGCTTTTTGGATCCGTGCTGAGATTTCGTCGCCAAAAGTACTAAGCTAGCCAGGTGTAAGAGCAAAAGTCACAGGATAAACAATATCCCCATATCAGCATAAGGATACCTAAGTGTCAAATGTGCATATATTGTCCATGTGTTGACGCTAACTAAAAGATTACAAGATTCAACAAAAGTTCCAAGTGATGACAATTATCTAACAAGTCTGACTGTAGTTCTAAGTTATTGAAGTAAGGTGAAGTGCAAATCTGACTGACTGACTGACTAACTGAGCTTCAATATAGAACACCTCTACACAGTAGTACGGTAGTTTAAGTTTCCACACTCCACATAGAATACAAAGGTAAAGAAAAAATGGAAAAAAAGGAATTCAAAAGAACTACAATAAACATAAACGTACGGAAGGAAGAATAGTAACATTGGAGGATATGAGACATTACAAAGAGTGGATGCATCTGTGGCATTAAGACCGATTTCCGAGACATATCAACAGTCTCCAGACATTGGTTATTAAAATCCAGAGAACCCCAACCAGACAGACAGTCTACATCTCCTTATGCGGTTGGCTCAAACCGACTGTCAAAGACACAGCGGATTGATTCCAAGTTTTGGTTTGACTACCCCCTCCCTAATTCTTTTCTAAAACTCAATTCTATGTTAGCTAACACTGGTCGAGGAGAATGGTGGTAGCTCAGTATGCGCAACAAGTATAAGTCAATGCGTAACATACATCATGCACCCACATCATAGAAGCTGATTTCTTCTTGGAGTACCCAAAACAGGAGGGGCGTTCATGCTACGTGACCGCAGTGCCCAGGAGACAATTGCTTAAGGTCTCTTACAGACGGCCTTTTTGAAGTGGTTTTCGAAGTTGCGTCCGTACTAAGATCTTACCGCCTGCCATGCACCGCGGCAAGGTGATTAGGGATGTACAATTTCCAGAATCAACTTTCACTAACCCGCCCCCCCAACCTAGAGGCAGCATAGCTGGCATGTTGGTCATCTGAGGTTATATCCCTATTTGCCAGCCATACGACTTCGTCCACAGACCCCCAACATAGTTTCGACAACTCACACAATGACAACTGCTTTTAGTCCAAATACTATACACATAATCTTTGACATCGCAGGACCTGCAGAAACATTAGTTTCAACTAGTGGAGCTCACTGAGTCATTACGATGTGTAAGCCCCACAATCACACCATGGTAGCAGCTATCGATCGGAAAATAAACAGTAGTCTCCGACCATAACTATATTACAAGCACACAAGAGCTTTAATTAGCATACATAACACGACTTACTGCTTTTTTTACATAACTTACGTCTTTTCTATCACCATTTTCATACTGCTGCATGCCCGTAAAGTAAGGTTTATTAAGTATTTCGGTTGGCAGTTTCGCTATAAAGCTCAATGCGGCACTTCTAAGTTGGACCACCGCTTTTTCCATATCAGTTTGGTGTGCTTGCATATATAAAATCTCTCGATTTTCAGCTTCTTTTAATAACTCAAGTATTCTTTTCTTCGTCCATCCGGGATTTATTTCCCCCAAGGTAAGATCAATTTCATCTGACATTGTTATGAAGATATGTTATCTGAAATTTTTTTAAATAAAGTTATCTTGTTACAAATCTTAAGGCATAGAGTATACTTTGGAGTAAAAAGTGAGACGACGAATCTTAATATCTTTTGCAGATAACTATCCTACAACACTGAACGTTAACTATAGGTAGAACAAAAATTATATAAAACAATCTGTGAGGGAATCAGTGCTGAGAATTACAAATATGTACATTTTTAGTTAACTTATCAATATGGATTTCAATTTTCCTACCCTGCAAATAATTTCAATATTTAAATAATGCGTATCAAACAATGTATACACTTTCATAAAGTCATATGGTGGATATCAATTATACAAGATTTCGTGTAACAGCTGAAGTTTATAAAAATCAAATAAAAGTCACAGGTAACCAAAAATGTCAAATAACCAGACAATAAAGTAGTTGTAGGAAGTTATACTACACAGAGTAAACGTAAATCAAGACACTTAGCTTAATTATTAAAATAACCATAGGAGTATAATAGTCTTAACAAAAGCTAAACAACCTATGATGGGGTCTCAAAATTATGATTATCGTCACTCCATGAACACTATCCTTTCTTACTAGGTGAGAAGTGGCACTTAAAGATAAAGATATTCCGTGTTATATCACCACTGAGAGACATTTAACTTTCTTCTACGAAACTAGTGGAAACGATGATAATGCATGAGTCCTATGTCCAAGAAAACTTCAACATTAAATGCCTGTAACTCGACCAAATGAGTTAAGTTACTGAAACAGTAAGTCTGCAGGCTAGACTTAAGCATAGCGACTTTAGCAAACTACCAATCAAAATGCCTTTAACAAGCGGTCATATTATAAAACGGTGCAAACGTGGATTAAATGCACGGACTACATTAAGAGTATCATCCTTATCACATATTTCAATACTCCGTTTGAAGAAGAGGTCACCTAGCTGATTGTCCTAGGCAGTTTGTTTGGGTCGCCACACTTTAGTCTAGACAGCCTACGTTGCATATCTGGTAGCTCTACCACTCTGTGGTTACACTACATAGCGTATTATTTCTCGGGTTGTGAATCTTACTTAAGTATACAAGAAGCTGATACCTTCCAAATATCTATTTGTAGAACAAACCGTTTTGCAGGTACTACCATGTTAGAAGGCAGTTTAACTACAAGTGCAAAAGCAAACTTTGCTAGTGGTCACTCTATCCTTCTACATAACTCATGGGCATGGCCACCAAAAGCAGAGGTATGCGAACGCAACTACCTTTGACAAATCAAAGGATTTGGGTAAGGCAATATGAAAAGTGACAATAAATTTGGGCGCTGGTTCACAACCATTTACCGAGCCTCTGACTTCAGATATGATCCGTAAAGCAGTAAAACCACCACACAAGCTGCACTTTGATTTTGCTTGCGTCCCGAAAATGCTTACATTCATTATTGTCTCTTAAATCCTGGAAGCTATAAACAACACGCTTGGTGAACCCTGTACATCCACCCAACAAGGGATGAGCACCAGACATTAACTTTTACATTTCAATTCTGCGAAGTCCTCCTAGTCATGTGAGTGCGAAGAACACGATCTGCTTAGCAGGCGAAATAAATGCGATATGACAGGAGAACACTTTAGAGGTAAATGCTGAAACATCACGAACACCAACATACTGTTTAACCGAAAATTTCCATTTTAGATTAAGGGAGTAAACAGTCAATGACACAAAACAATTTTATCAGCACTACTACGAACAAAACTTGAGAACGAAAATATACCACAGAAAAAACGACTAACAAAGAGCAGCTGGACGCCTTAGGCGCCAAAAAATTGACTTCAAATATGCCGCCAGTGTCGGTATAGGGAAACATCAGTTTCAACAAACAACATAAGACTAAGGTTTTTGATGGAGGACGAAAGGCTTCAATCAAATGGTAATTCCGTTATAGTGGAGGTCTACGTTTTTATATTCTTTTTCGTGATGAGTTAGTTAAGAGGTCAAAAGGCACTTCTGTCCGGTGTCATTTCCAAATACTGTGTGAGAACCAGTCTTCCATACTGATATATTTCACCCCTGTTTTCTGAACTTCTTCGCAATCTCCTCTCGGTTTTCTGACCTGTTTGAAGTGAAAAAGTGAGCTTATCAGATCCATGGTCACATCTGATTAAATCATACCTCTGTTTGCATCATGATAATGAGAAGCGATTCACACTAGTAAAGTCTTATTTGTACGACGAATTGGCCACTCAGGCAATGTTTGCGATCTTTTCTTGAGCTTTGCTCAGCCCAAATGAATCCTGTTTTTGGCAAGTTCTGGTTTCCTAGTTTTTATCTCACCAGAGTTATTAAAAGGACGGTTGCAGAGAACAAAATATTTTATTCGGCGAAGTCACCAGCTAGGTTGAACATTCGTGTGTTTATAGTAATGGACGAAAGAGTTCCAGAACTATTTCTGGCCAGGTGTCAAGTTAACAAAACTACAGAGTGTAAAAGCGGGAAGATCGGATAAAAAGCATAGTAAGATCATAACTATTGAGACTCACCACAGTTGTGTAGAAACTTTTCCACATTTCATTAGTGATGCCAGCAAAAGCCTTTTGTAGTACCGATAAAAATCTAAAGCTTTTAGATGCGACTGAGCTATCATTCAATGTAGCTTCTAAGTGATCTACAATGATACATAAATCCATATGCGCATGGAATTAAGGGAATCGTATTCACTCTATGTTGTGTTGGTGCATGCCCAGTAAGCATGGCTGTGAACTCCTACGCATTGAAGGAAAACATCCATCAAAGTTAAAATCACTTTGCCCTGTGGACACTTGGCTGTCATTCTTCAGGTGACTCGAAATTTTGAGGTCATCGCAGGGCAGAACCGAAGATTTAGCGGAAATGAGTAGTTCTTCGATATTCACTGCAAACAAAGGTGTCTGGGTTTAGCAGGGCACTCTGCCTGATCACGATTTCAGTTAGATAACTGTAATTGCAGTGTTCGGTTCGCTGGCCTCTGAACCTCGAAGGATGAATCTGTGCTTGTACCTGTATAGGAAGCAAACTGCTCAATTCATCAATGGGGTGGGGCAATGTTTTTAACCTTTGGTGTCAGTCTATGGGATGTTTTAAACCCTCCACAGCACCAAAATAAACTCAGGGCTAAATTGAATAGATCAAACTGAATTGAGCCTGGTGATACTTTAAGTGCTTTAAGTTTCGCTTTAACGGGTACGCATTAAACCGGTATCGAACACCATTTTACTCTCTTCTTTTGAGCTGGTAACACTAATATCCTCGGAGCCTTTAGTTCAGTGACACTGGTCGGACGATTTCTAAAATATTCCCTCGATTAACACAAATTTTTATTCTGTTGCTTATCAGGTGGCATTTAAAAATAACTGGGTCTTCCTGATTTGCGCTCCACTGTCAGTACTTAAGAGTCACTTAGTGTGAGTAACTAGGCATAACTCCTTTGGTTCGGCTGGTGTAATAATAGTCTAGGAAAACATTTAGTTAGGCTGCTTGCACAGATTCGTGATCACCTCCAGTTGGTTTCAACTAGAAATGACGCTCACGATTAATGTGTGGCTATCAGCTTAGCTAGACCTGAGCCCTACCCACACTGCCTGCTGACTCTTTAGCGTGTACTACCTAACCAGGTAGCTGCCAACCTCAGTCAGAGTGTCAGGCTTCATCATTCTGAAAGACCAAAAGGTAAATTGGATAGATAGCTTCACCGGAGACAGTTAAGTCATGCGACGCTACGAATCATTGTCAAACAGAGTCCAGAATGGCAGCCAAATTTGAACTTCAGTTTCATCGAGTTTGGGAAGGCTTTCTACGGTGTTGACTGTGAAGCGATTTGGCAGCTGCTGCTGATCCAACAACTATGTGATAAACGCATGTCATATAATTCACAACAAATAACCACACTGAAGCGTTTGAAGTGAAGACAAGGATGTGATGAGATTGCTTACTGTCGCGAAAGACATTCCTGGTTATCGTGGACTGAAGAGAGTGTGAGGACATACAACGGAAAGACATGTAGTGTACATTGAACCTTCGAACTTTGTTTGAACGGACTCACCTGACCTTCAACACACTTCCTCCTTCGATTCGTGAATCTCCTGTAGGTTTTGGTTTCGCTCTCTCGTTGTGCTTTCACCGGCACACTCTCGAGCTTACCACGTCTCGACTGCAATAAGTCGTAACCTCTTATTTTTATCAAATCTCATATCGCTTTTTGTAAATATAACTCTTCCAGTCACGTAGTCATCTCAAGTCTTTTTACCTTGATCCAGTTCGTTAGTATTTGCACACTAGGCAGAGTATAACTAAGGTCATAAAGCGGTGAGAAGTTTTTGTAAGAGTGATTAATTTAGGTCTAAGTTAAACCAAGTCTAACTCTTTCAGACACAAGGACCCTAGGAAATATCTCGCAAACTCCAAGATAAACGGTAGATTGACGGAGGAGTTAGGGATGACAGGACTTCAGATAATAATAGAGAAGGGAAAGGTGATGACGGTAACCGATCAATAACAATAAGCATCCGCCACCATCTGTAGGAGTAATCTAAGAGGAACCAAGATAGGAAAAGCAAGACTGGCGTTCATTGCTCTAAAATTAGTGTGGAAATTCGAACCACTCAGCACAACCAGCAAAATCCCCAATTTGGTCGTTTTAGTTAATGCTTATGTGTGCTTCACAGATGTGGTGTTTGTCACTGAAATGATTCCCTCAGTCTACTGCATACCTTAATTTAAACCTTCCCACTTCGTTGCCCCAATGATGAAGAAAAGGTGGTTGGCCAACAAGTGTAAGCAACAAGATGGCCTGGCAGCAGTGAGCCAACAGTCAAGGATGTATCTTTCGAGAAATATTCAGAAAGAATTAGATGTAATTTAAATGTTACCACACGTCAAATCTTCGAATAAAGTCTCAAAAGGGATTGCAGGATTGATCATCTGACGGCGTATTGAGTCAGTCATGTGGAGAGAAAAATAAAGCTTGCTGGTAGCCATAGAGCTAGTTGAAAGTGGTAGTAGGGAATAGAGTGGGATTTTGGGGTGCCTCCTTAGCTTCAAAGTCCACTAGGACGTTGGGAATGAATAATCATTACAATGGTTCATGGAAGATTTTAATCAAGTGAATGATACCTAGAGTGTTTGGTAAGTGAAGATACATATTCTCACTATAATTTGATCTGATGGCCAGCACTCCAGGTATCACGGTTGAAATTAGTTTAAACAGTATCAGTAGCTTTATTCTGAACAAAATGTTTAAATAATGTAAACAACTCTTAGCTAAATTTTTTGCACATTATTCGCTCTTCATCCAGGGTCTTCAAGTAAAGTAGCAGTCTCTAATATATCATGTGATGCGATGCTTTTGGATATGAAGTATAGACTAACCCCTTATTATATCCTTCCTTCGTCTCCTTGGAGAAATGCGCATCGGTAGTTTTAAAGTCGATTGAAAATGTGCATGACTACATTTCGCGGCAAAGTAAGACTATAAGAATTCGTGGAATGCAAATGCGCGAGCGACTTTGGGCCAAACAATCAAGAAATACAGTGCTATTTGCATCAAAATGACGTTTATTTACAAGGGAAATAAATGAAAACATACTTAACAGTATATCTTCCCCACAAATGACCTAAAAGTACCCCCAAATTGTAATGAGGAGTATCAGCTTTTGGTCAGGTTAATTTCTATGCGTATTGAAGACGAGTCGTTATTGTGACCCATTTACCTCCACTATCCAGGTTTCCAGTCTTCCCCAAAAGACCGCGATTGAACTAGTATGGCTTCCAGTAAAGGGATTGATGTCTGTTTACTAACCAACGAGGATAAAAAAACAAATCACCCTAACCCTAATCCCAACTCAATACCTAAACCTAATCGTAACTGATATGTAGTCACATGATATCTGCTTTGTTTTGACAGTCTGATATGTTTGCTATATGTATACTGATTGTTATTCCATTATAACTCACAATATGCTCTGTCTGTCCATTAACTAAATAAACAATGTATGACCTTTTGTCACATTACATTACAACCAATGAGAATTCAATGGTGGTAAGAAGAACTAGTGTCTATCTCATTGGTTAATGTATGTTAGTCATTTTATATATACTCTTGTATTGTACAGTCAATACACTCTTTCACACTCTTTCGTACTTGGGTACTTTTCCACTCACACTCTTGTGTGACAGTTAATTTTTCCTTGTTGGAAAATACACGTATAGTCATGAACGTGGTGGTCTTTGGATTTTCCTCTTCGCGTCAGGACAATTTGACTACTCAGCAATACCAGTCTGTAAGTTATCGTCCGTTATATCTCATTAACGCATATTTACACTCGGTCACACCATAATATCGGCAACGACACCATAACATATTGGCGACGAGTACATAACAGTAACCCTAACCACAATCTCTACTCTAAACCTGACTATGACCCTGATCCGATCATTAATCCTAACCCTTACCCCAATCATAACCCTGATTCTAACCCTATCTTTGATTCTAACCATAATCATGATCGTAACCCCAGTGAATCATTAACAGCACCTAAAAACAAGATCGGAACAGAATTTACACGTCGATCTGCATATGGCGTTCATAGTGACGCTGTAGTAATAGTAGGTCTAGTTGTTCAACGAACAGTATGCTTTTAAGGTAATTGAAGCGTTCGCATTCCTGGGCCGCCATATTGCTAGTTGGCTCAGTTTACGACTTAGGGACATAGTTGAATGGTTAAGACAGTGAGAATTAGAGAAAATATGATGCAATGTATTGGGATAGAAATTCAGGTAGCCCTATAATTCAG